CACAGTTACACTACCTTACACTACCTCACACTACCTTACACAGTTACACTACCTTACACTACCTCACACTACCTTACACAGTTACACTACCTTACACAGTTGCACTACCTTATACTACCTCACACTACCTTACACAGTTACACTACCTTACACTACCTCACACTACCTTACAGACGAAGGCCTTCGCTCGAAGCGTCGAAATTCTTTTCGTATTTTTCAGGTGGTTGCATCCTACACACCGGCAAGTTCGCAGTTAATACACGTGCTTTCTTATTTTGTTTCACTTTTTATTTTACATAGATGTCTTGATAAACAACAGATATCTGAAGTTGAACGAGTTCAAGCGCTGCGATTTGTTAGAAAGGTAAAACTGGTTCATCATCGCTGTTTTGAATTTTTCACAGAGATTTCCGTTCGCTTCGGCATGTACTATCGCTCGAACGGTTCTCGAACGTAACAATAAGATAGACAGCATAGTAGGTTGTCTGAGATTTTAGGCAAGTTATAAAATTTAAAACTGACAGCTTAACATTTGAAGTAAGCCATTTTCAGAAAACGAGGAAACGCTACAAGAGTACTACAGGCTTTTATGAATTCATTAAAAAGTAATGTTTGAGTACTGTACCTATACTGTACTGTATCAGACTATACTTTACCATATATATTACACTACTGGACTTTACTAGACTATATATAGTCTTATGCCATTTTTTACGGTGTTTTGCTATACTGTGCTTACTGTACATAGTGTTTTGCTTGATTCTACTGTTACAGTCCTACTACATGTACTGTAATATGTTGTACTGTATTGTACTGTACTGTGCTGCGCTAATGTTCAACAGTATACGTTTATAATGTAGTGCAAGCTCAGAATTTTCTATTGGGCAGGTGGTTGCTGTTTGTCCGCTACTTTTTCCAATGTCATTCGCACATTGCTTGGTTGCAATAGCGGCAGACAAGAGTCAAGAACAGGACAGACTTGGCAGAGCATGCCTTGCCACCATGTGTGAACTAGGTTGGTAATTTGGTATATGTTGTTTATTGTAATAATAAGAATTGCAGGTTTTATCAATAGAAGGTAATTTCAAAGATTGAAATTAAAAAAAAAACTTAGCCGCCCAAGTGGCGACCTAATCCGGTCATTTCAACCCCTGGGTAATTTCAACCCCTGGGTAATTTCGTCCGGCTATTTACACCGAGAGAACAAAAGCAATGCGGTGTTCAAAATGCAGAAATTCCTCGTATATCATGATTTTCCTGTGGTCGGTGGACTTTCCTGTTCTACGCGTTTCAGCCTGGAACTAGCTTTCCATTGGTCTTAATACAAAATCTTGAGTGTTGGATTCTCGGGGTCCTGTATGGGTGGCGGTAAACAATATTTTCGAGCTTGTTTAAGGGTTTAAATTGTCTAACTACCTGAAAAATATATGACGAACACTGTAAAGGATCAAAACGACCCTGAAAGAATCGTTCTGGTGTCAAATTGTAATCTTTGCTAAAGTTTTGGTTCACAGTCTGTCAGTCTATTCAACTATCGATTTTATTTTTCCTAGCTGTGAGTAATGTCCAAGTGGCGTCATACTGTGGTGGAATAAATACTATCATTTCCAGTGTTCTTGATTCACAGGTATGAAATGGTGTTATACGACAAGATAACCTAATCCGTATAGGTAGGTTTCACTCAAGCCTTAAGGCCCATACAGACCGGACGCGATTTGGCAACGCGACGCGAATTGAAAACTGAAAATTCGCGTCGCGTTGCCGAATCGCGTCCGGTCTGTGTGGGCCTTTAAACATAGGGAAACGCTTGCTGGTCACCTTTACACATATTGCCGCTTTAGGGACCGGTCATAAAGTAACTGCTAGGGTGGGCTGGAGTGATTTGGGATGGGCCATGGAAAATCTTTGGACAGTTTCGATGGGCCGCCAAATTTTTTGTATGTCCACGGTTGGGCCACCAAACAAAAACCCATGCATGTCTACTTCAAAAAATAAAGATATTAATAATAAAAGTAAACAAAACTATCCGAATTATCAAATGCAAATGTGCTATTGAAGCCAGTACTTTGTTTATACAACAAGAAGTGGTTGAATTATCACAGCAAATACAACCAACTGGAGAACAGCTCAATATCGTAATTGGTGATGAATATGTTGGTCAAGCTTGGTGGAATTACGTATGTCAATACAGTGCCTGTGTATATTTATAATGTTGATACCTGCAAGTTTTTTTTTATTATAAAAGTGTGTTTTCCCAATTTAGATTGGGTGGGTCATGAAAATTTTTTTGTAAGATTAGATGGGCTTTGAAATTTTTATCTACATCCTAAAATGCATTGGTCACCGAACTTATTGGCAAAATTTCTGATTTACCTCCAGCCCACCCTAGCAGTTACTTTATGACCAGTCCCTTACGCCTTGTTGTTAGCAAGTACATTTCGTGAAATTGGATATATTTGATACCAAACACAACATCAATATTTATAATGAATTTTTAAATCGATTCCGATAATTGTGTTTCCATTTGGAGTCGACCACCAGGCGCTAAACGTATCACGTGACTGAAACCCAGCTATAGGCAAATATTTAAGTAAAAATTCGATTTATACCATACACATGTTGCATGCACTTGTACCATAGTTCATGAGAAAAATAGCTAAAATAAACTATGGTTTTATTAAATACAAATACTGCTTTGCAAAGTCTCCGCTTTCAACAGGTAGCCTCGCAGTAGCTCGGAAGAGTGATTTTCATTGGCTCGATTTGACAATTGCTTTTGTGTTCAGAACAATGACATTGCTTCGTTCTTTAGAAAACCCCCATCCATTTGGAGACGACCTTCCGAGGCACTGCGAGGCTTCCCCTTTCAACTGAAGTCAGTCAAATGGGCATATAAGTAGGCAGTATGTTGTAAATGAACTTCGACAGTACTCGCGATTCGGTACATGCATGCATGCACATACAGACTCACGCAATCGTGAAAAAATCCCCAAATCTGCCATTTTTCTTTTTCAATACAGGTTCATAGGATGAACGAATGTCTTGTCTTGACGTTACTGTTTCTCATGAACAATCCTGTGACCAGGTGTTATGTACGACCTGATGTTGGCTTAGAGGTAATTTTTACATCAAATGTATGTTGTATGTTGTTAAACTGTGAAATGTGGAAATATATATGACGTCACAAAATGGAACATTTCATTCATTCCTCCTATCTTCCAGGGTATTTTAGCTCCGTTCACTGACCTTCATTATAACCACGGAATTGAAATTCCCGATTCTCAACTCAGGTATACAAAGTTTTATTTTAGTACGTATATTCCAAGGATTATTTAGTATATTTGCTACAATTTCCATACATTAATTATTATTATTGGACAACGAAGTTCAACGTTGTTTTTCTTTTCTCAGGGAGGATCGTGAATCACGATTACAAACGAGCAAAATGGCGATGGCTACTGTGTTTAAAACGTGGCCAGGTATGCTGGTTTTTATTGCTTCATTATGTAAATGTCCCGAAAGTGATAAAAAGTCCTACTATTGTGTATGCCTGCGTCAAAACTCAATACCATTCGAAAAATTTAGTTCGTTCATGTTGCTTTTATATATTTCGTCACAGTCATTTTGCTTGTATTAATTAAAATACAGTACTTTATAATTTGATTTGAGCCGAATTCCTAACTTTTGTTTGCATATACCGCCTATACACATCATTGCTGTTCAGATAGCAGCTCAAAACTACATTCTCTTGATAGGCGATAAACTGTACGAATTATTTTACTGTGAACGGGAATTACAAATTATGTTATACTGTTAACATGAATTACGAATTATTTTTCTGTTAACAGGAATTACGAATTATTTTACTGTTAACAGGAATTACGAATTATTTTACTGTTAACAGGAATTATGAATTATTTTACTGTTAACAGGAATTACGAATTATTTTTCTGTTAACAGGAATTATATGTTTGTGCAAACCAGACGGAAGTGGCCTTCAATCAGTACTTCAGATATTCTGTTTACCTGATCCACTCATTAAGGTAAGTGTGTAGCATGCTGAATGCACAGAGGACGTAAGGATATTAGAGAGGTTCAGACTTGACTTCCACTACTGCTACCATTAAGGGACCATTAACCAATCAGATGCGTTTGATATATCCGATTAACCAATCAGATACGTAGTAGCCAGTGAAAAGTAATGGTAGCGGTAGTGGAAGTCAAATCTAAACCTCTCTTTTGTCGTCTGCGATTAGATATTTAATATTTTAGGACTATTATTGTACAGTACTACTATAGAGGCAGACGTGACAATCAAGTCTTGTAAATTTTCTGCAACATTAGAACCAACGACAAACATAAGTTAGACTGTTCACTATGACGGTTAAGATTTTTGTTTTCTAATCTATTAATTCTGTGACGTCATTGAGCTGTTCTTTTACTTCTAGCGTCATATTATGGATATCTTGATGGACGTGTTTCGGCTTCCAGTTCCTGAGTGGACTGACGACTTCATGGTCGCCTTAAAAAGCATAGGTATGCAGTTAAGGTTACAGAACACCTTTGAGTGTTGATTTTGCCTAAAAATTTTTTATTGGTTTCAATGAAAGCATTAGACTAGTTCTACTATCTGACCAAGTTTGAACGAAAAATGTTGAAAACTCGCAGAGTTATTTAATAAAATACATTTCGCTGCAATAAGAAAAACATTGAAAATGTA